CAAAAAAACTGCATACGCCAAGCGGCTGGTGAGTCCCACTTGATCAACTTTATTTTTTGTTCCTACATTCGTTGACTGGAATTAATGATATATCAGGTAAATATTCTACTCCGTAGGGCTACCTTTACTTATTTAAGACAAGTAACTGTAACTAAATGACTTTATAGTATAATGCGATACGTAGCTTGAATAATTATCCTTTACCCTCTATATGCTCAGCCTGATATATGATGTATTCCTGGGCTCATTTCTTGCAGCTTCATTTCTGTCACTGTATCTTCTGCAGTGACTAAATCATGCTACAGAGTTCCTTTACTTCATGATCAGTCGTTTTATTGACGCGCTTAGCTGACGTAATAGTCAATATTGCATTCGTTATAATTAAGGTTTCTGCCACTCTCAGGCCTAAATTTATCTGAAATGTTATAGTTACATTGACGATCTGAACCTTATAATCCAGCCCATATGTTCAAAACCTCCACTTACAAAACAGTAACACACCATCTCGCATACCTTGAATAGATAGTATGCAATGTGAATCTTTTGTGATTTATGATATTTTGACTGGAACGTAAAGCATTTTTCTTTCTGCTTTATGATTTGGTAATGGTAATGCCGTCGCTAAGACGCGACAAGCTCCCTCTTACACCAATACGCGATAAACCCTCTCTCACGCCAATACACGACAAGCCCCCCTCTCAGCATGTCATTTTCGATAGGAAGTTACTCATATATATAGAGATTTACGACCACGAGCTCAAACTTTGATATTGGTTTCATTTCGCTCGCGTGATAATGACTGATTTCAAATTTTGCGGAACTTTTCTCAATACGTTTTAAATTGTGTCAATTTCTCAGGGTGCTGTACATTATCGCTCAATGCATCGACCACAAGCAGTAGGCAAACGAAACCTCTATGCCATTATAAATGATACAACTGGCAGGGCCACTTTTCATTTGCTTATGTGAACTCATATGTCGATTTATACACGAGCTTTGAAATAGACTTTGCTCTTCACGGGTCATTTGCATGGTCTTATTTGGAGCTCTGATATTGTTCTTTCATTCTGTGTGAAGAAGTAAATTTACTGATGGCGGAAAAACTGTTCATACAGCCATATCCCTCGACTTTGATTTGAGGTTTGCAGTAGCATAATGAGCTCACAGTCGTGAGCTTATGAGTTCATCACTCGGCACAACTGGATAGGTTAGAGCACAACAAACACCAACTTAGCCAGTAATAACGAAGTATTTCTATTTTGTCCTGGGTTTGTCAGTTGCATTCAACGACCCTTTCAGTAAAACTTAATCTTAGAATAGATAAGGCAACCCTACAACATAGCGATGATGCTTAAAATAGAGGTCGCTAAGATGGTGGCCTGACATCGTGCTTTTGGGCTGCCAGAACTAACTTACCTCCCACAGGAGTGTAAAATAACTACACCAGTCAGAAGTCACAGTGTTTTAAAAACACATTGGCGTTTTTCGTAGAGCTATAAACAAAGTTAAAGATCAACAGAAGGCCAGTAAGTATATGAACGGCTAAAGAATCGCATGGGTTGTTCTCTCGATACCGAGTTCGAAAAATGTGCAAGAGTAAGGAAATGGATATGAGGCTAGGATGTGTTTTTCTCTTTAAATAATCAAATGTCTCATTGGAATGAGTATTGCGATTCTCAGTTCTAGATCACATCAGGCGGCGTTTCCGAAAGGCCACATGCTAATCAGCTTAATACTTCAATTCTTCTGTTTTATACGTTACCTTACCTCACCTTTCACAGGAATAAACCTACATATGAGAAATGAGACCCTGACCTCCATTCACCTTAATCCCTTTCTACAAAAATCCGTGTCAAGTCAGTAGCCTCGACAACTGTCCACCTCTTGCACACTTAGTAAACTTACGCTAAACTTCCTTTTCTTGAAAGATTGTTGGTCTCGGGAATCGCTGACATAACAGAACTGAGTGACTTCTTTTTCTGGGAAACTTCTTCGCCCTTCCCTTAGAACTTCAGTCTACTATGCTATTGCTACAGATGGGACGCAGGAATCTCGCTCCTCATATCCAACCGGTCAGATTCAAAACTGAAACCATCAGCATTAGCATTAGCGTAAATGTTGGCTGGGGAGCTCTTCCTCATTGTCTGTTATCAAGCTTTTTCAAGGTTGAAATTATTTATTAATAGGAAGATACAAAGGTTGAAATCCCTGAAAGAATGTTAACTATGATTAAGTGAAGTACGGAGTAGTATTTGATGTAAACAAATTAAACCGAAGCGAAAAAGAGAAAAACAAACAAAGCTGTACAAAACGAGAAAATTTTGCTGACGTGCGTGAGTGGTAGGAGAAATTTGCATTCCAATGTTAAGTTAATTTTTCATGATAACACGCAATAAATTGTTTAATAGTTTACTGTTCCCAAATGTTTCTAGAGACAGTATTCCCCACTCTGAGTCGGCTTCGACTCAGATTGCATACGTCTGCTGTGACTGGAAAGCTTGTGGATAGTGAGTTGACTTTGGTGCAGGGGTAGTATCTGAAATCTTCCTCTATAGCACTAAGAGCACTAGCAAGAAACTAGAACTAGTATGTGAACAACATACCTATGTAATGTACTCCTTTAAGGGTATAACTCTGAGTTGGAAAATTTGAACTGAAGCGAATCCTCTGCAACGGACCAAACTCATCTAGAGCTCTTTTAGAATCAACAGTCACACAAAAAAAAGAGAATTAAATCAAATTTTATTAAGTATAGTTGCATACAAGTTAACATTTCAAATTTAAAGTTATGATTTTTCTCTCTAACACAATCCAGTTAAACTTAGAGTAAGGTGTTAAAGTTGGAATTCTATGGTCTATGGCAATATGTGGATCAAATAAGCTTCAGTAAACGTGCATTTCTGCAAGGTTTCAGAATCTTTCAAATACATTATATATCAACACCAGGTGCCAATGTCAACATACATATTATACCCAAACAACTGGTGTCAACATACATATTATACTTGACCAAACATACCTCTCCTCTTTCAGAACACACCGCACTAACCACATTTTTACAAAAACTTCTCAAGTTACATACTCGACGATACTTAATGGCCTGAAGAGCATCTTAGGCAGGGGTCGCACTTTGGCCTTATTTTTTTTATGTCGCGTCATAAGTTGTCCTACAAATATGTCGCGACATTTACACCACGGGAGTCATGGATGTCGCACTTGTGCAACAGAAATGATATTTGAAACTATACTGTCCGGCAACTCTTAATATTTCACGCGCGAAAAGAGCACCAAATAAAACTTTGTAGACAAGAAGCTGGTGCTAGTTTTATTAGCGACATTTCTTCATTCTCTGTTTAATTTGTTCAATCTACAAAACCTTATTGATTTGTACGCATTGTACAACACTCGCCAATGGCAATTGCTGGCTCTTGCCGCTTTAAACCGACGTCGACGGATGAGAAAAAAATGGGAAAATATCTGCGAGCCAAAGGGTGAAAACAAGCCATTCCCATACTGAGAATAATCAGGTGAATAGTGCAAATTTTTAAATTGTTATGGGTTGAAATTCGCCATAGGGACCAGATAAAACATATGTCAAGAAAACGTGTGACTAAAATATTGAACCGATAGCTATAGCTAGCTGTACACACGTGTTGTCTTTGCAGAATTTCGAAAATCCAAATTTTTGCTAGTAGTTCAGATTTGATCGACGTTGCGACAGAGGAAAACAAAAATTGTTATTTTAAGACGATAAGACGAGATAAGGCCTGCCTCGAGGCAGGACATCGGCTTTTTTTAATGTTTAGGTCCTTCGGACATAGTTATGTCTGGTTGCGAAATAAGGGTCGCACTTGTCGCAAGTACGCGATGACAGATTTTATGTCCAATGTAAACACCAAAAGCGTAAGTGCGACCCCTGCCTAAGGCATTTCTTTGTTTGCCTAAAAGTTCTCTCCATCGTGACATATAACCTAAAGAGGAATCAAAATGTTAATTTGTATCGGGAGTGATTCACGATAATCTTAGAAGAAGTTGTCGATGCACGTGCCTGTTGCATCCGGAGCATAAACAGCACGCTCAAGCTTGAAACTACCTAGTCTTCCTCGCAGCCGTTTTTTTTTGGATGTCACGCACCGCTCCCCCAAAAGAACGGCTGCTGACAACCGAACTACATTCCTTTCTCCGAATTGGCCAATCACAGCTCGGGTTTCATTTTTAGGAACCTTTTCGCGCCAGACTCACCTTTTAAGACTCGTCCAATCAGATATCGTTTTCTATCGCGATCCTCATGTGGAAAACACAAGACAAATGGCGGTGCTTGAAGGAGCTTTTCGCAAAGCGTCGTCAAAGTTCAAAATTTTCGAGCTTAATGCTCACCAGAAGCTTGCAATTAGAAAAGTTTTAGTCGAGAAAAAAAATANTGGTCAAACACGAGCGGGAGTGCTTGATATATTAACGATTTCCCGGATCCTGTAGGCAGCTTGACAAAAACATTTTTTTTCTCGACTAAAACTTTTCTAATTGCAAGCTTCTGGTGAGCATTAAGCTCGAAAATTTTGAACTCTGACGACGCTTTGCGAAAAGCTCCTTCAAGCACCGCCATTTGTCTTGTGTTTTCCACATGAGGATCGCGATAGAAAACGATATCTGATTGGACGAGTCTTAAAAGGTGAGTCTGGCGCGAAAAGGTTCCTAAAAATGGAACCCGAGCTGTGATTGGCCAATTCGGAGAAAGGAATGTAGTTCGGTTGTCAGCAGCCGTTCTTTTGGGGGAGCGTTGCGTGACATCCAAAAAACGGATGCGAGGGAGACTAGAAACTACCAAGAGCGTTGATGCGCAGTCATTTGGATCGAGAATTCCGAGAATTGTTTGTCTATATGGTTTCCGATGTCAAAGAAACGTATGCTGCACCTTGGATCATATTGTCTGGCGCTTTTGAGCCATTTTGAGCTGTTTTTGTCAATCTTCGCCAACAAGGTCATGTACCACTAACAGAGGAATGAAATCACCACGAATTTATTCTCATGAAAACTTAACTTTTTCATAAATCTAGAAGCTTTGATTTGTTATTCATAGCCATCCAATCAAACTTCGCTTTCTTTGAACACTTGATCTAAGAATATAATATGACAGGGTTACTTTTCTTGTGCTCATTCCAGTGTTGTTTTGTCGACGGTTTGCCTTCATTACTGAGTTGTTTTTACAACGATTTGAATATATTTGATGAGGAGGGCCCTTCAGTGAAAATTTTGCAATACTCACGGCGAAAGTAGCTTCTGTTCTCACATTTAAACTCGAATAATCAACATGTATACTGGTGGCCTTTTGAAACCTCGTCACAGATGATTGTCTAACTTTGTTCAATGTTCTCACTCTGTTCATCGTGTCAAGTCAAGAAAAGAAATGCGGGAAAATGGGAAGAGGTTTCGATCATACCAGCTTGGTATGGGTATTAGTATTGGTATTGGGCCGAGGTTCTGTACGCTGTTTCCAAGTTCTCAGGAGAACAAACAAGATGTACTCGACTCGAAAGGTTAATTTTAGAATCCTGAACCTTAACTAAATCTGACTAAACCTGATAAAACGTGCTAGTCAGGCACAACTTGATCAAGTAAAACTACAAAAAAGGCGGGTTCTGTGCTGAACAACGATGGAGCAGATCACCAAATCGAAAGGTAGGAATGTAGTATTTTTAGCTGCGTCTTTGCCCTTTCGAAAGATTACTGACTTATTTCGCAACATGATGTTTGTGTTTTCGTATGATTGTCGGGACCCTCTGCTTTATCGAGTTCCCTCACAAATAGTTATAATTTAGATCGAATTGAAAAGCTGTTATTTTTTCTAGTCGGAACCAAAACCTGAATGAAATACTCAAAGTTTTATCCACACAATATGCAAATTGATAACGCAACTGACCTGTTACGGACTTGTGAATCGGTCGAACGGTACGACTGATGTTTACTCGAGAAAAAGTTGCAATTAAAAATCAGCTAGTTCAGTTTGTCTGAATCATCATATGAAACATGATTTATGCCTTTTTCATTTTCATACATTTTATATCAACTGATCATGATTAAGTGTGAGGCATCTTTAAGTTAAACAAAAGCTTACTTGAATTAATTGAAAACAACATATAAAGAGCAAATATGTGAATCAAATAACTGAACTGTATGCTATATTCTGCTAATACATCCGTTGCAACGTTCACTCTGAATTGAGCCCCCACCGAGTGTTACACGCAGAAATCAGTTGAGACAGTCAAGGTCAAACCTGCCTTTTCATATCAAGCTCCATGGGCCTACACATATCGATGAACCCTTTGCAGGAGGGACTACATCCAAATATAACGAGTGCAGATCGAGGTAATAGTCACCTAGTTCAAAAAATCGGAAAACATCTTAAAGTTGAGATTTGTCAGTTGTGCAGCGTAAAGCTTAGTAAAATTATTTTGTTCCAACTTAGTGATGGTTTCCGCCTTCACATGAGCACAAATGACTAATGTGATAGTCCTTTAGAACATATTTTGGATCAAAATCAGATCGCTGGAAAGTTTTCATTGTATATGCTAGCAAACTGTCAACGGTAAATTGAATCAACTTAACATAAAACACAATTTTTGGGTATAGGACAGTCACTTCCGTACAGTCACTCTCAGAAGCAAATCCAGGCCTGATGCACTCATTCTTGCCAACGTCAACCCTTCTAGTTTTTCTTTAGTTAGCTGGCTTAATATTCCAAGACATAAGTTGTATTTCGCTGGAACTTATCTAGGCATAGCTTCATTCTAAAATCCTTGTGATAATAAAATCTTGCATCATTTATCACAACTCAAGTCGAGTGACACATTATTTCTTTCGATTTGAACCTGGGCGATCAGATAACGGCTTATTAAGCGACTATCTCGGTCTGTATAAAGGGAGATTTTAGGCCACTAACTCAGTCTATATATTGTACGATTTTAAGCCGTTATACTAACGGCTTAAAATCTCTCAATAAACACAACAGACTGAAGGAAATTAAGCCGTTAGTTAACGGCCTAAAATCGTACAATAAAAATAACAGGCTGAACGAAATTAAGCCGTTAGTTAAGGGCCTAAAATCGTACAATAAACATAACAGACTGAACGAAATTAAGCCGTTAGTTAACGGCCTAAAATCGTACAATAAACATAACAGACTGAACGAAATTAAGCCGTTAGTTAACGGCCTAAAATCGTACAATAAACATAACAGACTGAACGAAATTAAGCCGTTAGTCAACGGCCTAAAATCGTACAATAAACATAACAGACTGAACGAAATTAAGCCGTTAGTTAACGGCCTAAAATCGTACAATAAACATAACAGACTGAACGAAATTAAGCCGTTAGTTAACGGCCTAAAATCGTACAATAAACATAACAGACTGAACGAAATTAAGCCGTTAGTTAACGGCCTAAAATCGTACAATAAACATAACAGACTGAACAAAATTAAGCCGTTAGTTAACGGCCTAAAATCGTACAATAAACATAACAGACTGAACGAAATTAAGCCGTTAGTTAACGGCCTAAAATCGTACAATAAGAATATAGTTATTTAATATTTTTTATTATATATATTAAAAAAAAATATTATTTATTATTTAATTTACGAAATTATCATACCGACCGGGATAGTGGCTTAAAATCTCACAATAAACAGACCGTGATAGTAACATATTATGTCATTATATATATTCCC